GTGGGGTTTTTTTATGTACTCTGGAGATGACCCCAATAGGATTTCTTGATAGTGGGATGTAAGAATGGAGTTACGTATTACTGAAGATATTTGGCCTGAGAAAATCTTTCATTTGGTAGATTAAATTGCTTTTTAACTTCATTTATACTAGCTTCATTTTTTGCCTGTGATTAAAATTTTTTTAATGTTTTAATTTTTTATGACCTGAGTTTTTTTCTCTTGAAGCCTTCCTTAATAAGATTATAAAAGTCTCATACTTTCTTTGGATTCATTTTAGGTAGTTTAAAAATTAGTTAATCTATGGGGGCACCTGTAGCTCAGTGCCCCATGTAGCAGGGGTGGTAGGTTCAAACCTAGCCTGAGCCTGCTAAATAAAATAAATAAATAATAATAGTTAATCTAGCTAGTATTTATTTTTGCTTTCACTAAAGCAGAGTTATTCAATCTCAGCACTACTGACATTGTGGGTTAGATACTTTTTCTGTGTGAGGGGCTTTTCTTCAAATTATAGACTATATTGCAGTACCTCTGGCTTCTACCCACTAGGTATCAGGGGCATCCATGTCCTGTCCCCAGTGTCACAACCAAGTATATTTCCAGACACTGTCAAGTGTTTCCTCAAGGAAGACTTGCTCCTGGTTGTAAACTACTTCAGTAAAAAATGTTAAATGGAAGCCCTGGTTTTGAAATACACATGTTAAAAAATACTGTACACTATTTTTTATTATATCAGTGCCATTAAAGACCTCAATTTAGAAACTACTCTGAATATATGGAGAGGATGGGAGAAAGAAAACCAAAGCACAGATGCTTCAACTTGAGTGACAGTTTCATGGAACATGGTGACCTTGCACAGGACTTGGCAGTTATCTTAAATTTAAAAAACAGAATTAAAAAGTCAATTCTGTCACAGAAGGGTGCTTTGCTTATTTGTTTTATTTTGTTTAAAATAACAAAACCCTCCTCCAAGTCATTGTTTAAATGCTCCTTTAAATGTTCCTTTAAATGTTCCATTACATCCACAGGATGATGTGGAAGTAACGTACATAGAGAACTAGACAGATCATCAAAAGAACTAATCTGAAACACAAAACTTTCTGATCTTCAAATTTGTGGTCTGAAAAATGAAAATTTTATTGTGAAGATCAGCTAAACTATACTGAAATCCTTAAACCAATGTAGAGCATTTTAAGGAATTATTAATATAAGGAGCTACAATTTTACCTGCTTTAAATTTTTTTGATAAAATATTTAAAATTAAAAATTTTTATCATAGTTCTAGGCCTGTATGCTTCAATAATTTTAGCCACTAGTCAGTCACATATGGCTACTGAACACCTGAAATGGGGTTAGTTAAAATACATACCATAGTTTGAACACTTACTAATTAAAAAACAAGTCAAATGTCAGTAATTTTATATTGGTTACATGTTGAAATAAGTTTTTGGATCTGTGATGCTGGATACATTGATTTGGATTATACAAAATAATTTCGTTTGTCTTTTTTAAATTTGTTCACACAGAATTTAAAAATTGTATGTGTGTGTGCAAATATATTTCTAGTGGAGCCCATTGGTCTAGACTTACTAGATGTTAATTCACAAAAGACAACTTCTAGTGGTGATGTCTATATGTTTTCTATGGAATAGAGGAATTCTAGTATGGAAGGATTTTCTGTATCAGTTTTAATTGTTTGAAGATTCCCTAGAGCAGGGGTTCTCAACCTTTCTAATGCTGTGACCCTTTAATATAGTTACTTCTAGCAACGAAAATAATTTTACGGTTGGGGGGTCATCACAACATGAGGAACTGTATTAAAGGGTCTGGCATTAGGAAGATTGAGAACCACTGCTCTACAGGAATTATGATGCTATCAATATATTTAAGTTTAATTAAGGAGTTTATGAACTTTGGATTTCAATTTATTTTGAAAAAATATAGTTTTAAAAAAATTCAAAAACTACATAGTAAATTTAAAAGCAGAGAAAGAGTACTAATTAGTGCCATCATATTAACTCTTCAATTTTTTAAAATTGTGGCTCTCTGTTTTCATTTAAGTCTGTTAGATCATGTATAATTGCAGAAATATGTATACTGCTACATAGATCTGAGCCTGAGTCTCTTGATACTGTGCTATGAAACGCACTAATAATGTACATACGATGAAGCTGGTAGCTTGTGTTTATTAGAATGAATTGTTTTCAGTTACTGACTTTATAATTAGTATATTTATAAACTTACAAAATTATTAGAACACTAATGAATCAATTTAAGAGATATTTTCTATTTACTTTTTACAACTAATGTTAGTTTCAGAAGGATTGCTGCTGCTGCTGCAAAAAAATTGAAAAACCCTAATTTCATTCAACCTCTCGTTTTACAGATTTAGAATCTGATTATAAGGAAAAAGTTTCCTAAATTTTACACAATAAATTTGAATCCTGATATCCAAACTGTATGTACACGGGGTAAGTATTTTCTGTTATAAAGTCATATTCTGAGGAATATAGTATTGAGTAGGGGTTAAATTTAGAACATTTTGATTTAAATTATCACTTTAAAATAATATAGTTCATTATATGAAATAGTTGGTTTCGTTTGAAATTCCATGTATTTATATTTTCCTGAGTTCCCTATGAATTGTCAGTGTCTGGTCTTTGGATGCACAGTCCGTGATGCTGAGAGCTTTCTTCATGATCCTATGGAGTAAACCTTGGAGAAGCAGGCGAAAGAGGCTGTTTGACAGCCACAAAATAGGTTATCCTGTCTCCCTGATTAAGTACAGTGAGGCTCTTCGGTGAGTGTTACGTAGGACCTAATTTTTTTTTTTTTTTTATGTGCCAAGTTCTTAGAGGCTCACACATACCTCTTCAGACCTTTTTGTAACATAGGCTTCTGTCTTGCTCTTTCAGAATTTCTAATTCTCCTGCAGGAACCATTAGCCATTGCATGTCAGTAGGTATAGATTCTTTTTTTGTTGTTTTTAACTTTGGTGATATTTTATTTTATTTATTTTATTTTTTTGGCTGGAGCTGGGTTTGAACCTGCCACCTCCGGCATATGGGGCCAGTGCCTTACCCTTTTGAGCCACAGGCGCTGCCCCAGTAGGTATAGATTCTTAACTCATGAAATTTCTTCAGCAAGGTAGACCTAATGGTAGATCTGTCTACTATGAAGATTTCCTTTTATTTCTCAGTCAGGGTTTCCCTTCTGTTGGGGTAGCAAAGCCTCAGCAATCTATTTCTGGATATTAGTGGCATTAAATGAGAGCCGTGTGTAAACGAGGCTTGATTATTTTACCAGCTGTGATGTAGAGCTGCCCATGAGTCCATTTGTATTATTAGAGGGTGGGACGGTGGTGTGGAGCTAGGCTTTTGGTAGTAACCTGTTCATATACTTTCTTGTGCATTTGGGCTTTTTTATTTTATTTTTTTTGCTTATACATACTGTATATACTGCTTTCATTCATGTAATTTTTCTGGGTACATCTACGTATGCCCTCGCCCCCCCCAAAATGGCATGGTTCCTGAAAGATGTATATATTTTTCCTTTCCCATTTTTCTTATATGAATGCTCAATCGTGAGCCTTTAGTTGAATGCCAGAAAGGAAGTTCTTGGTATAATGCAATATATAGGATCTGTTCTTAAGAGTACCTGTGTTCTCTTCACGTAAGGAATTACAGGGCTGTAAAACAAAGTCTAGGAATGGAGTGAAGGCTTGTGACTTTAACTAATGAAAACTTAACACCTTTTGTGTGTTGAAGGCATTTGGATTATTCAAATGAAAGTCTTTATTAGTGTTACTGAGCCATCAGTAGGCTCATTACACTGGCTTTTGACAAAAGAAAAGCTTTTTTATTGTAAGTTGACTGGCAAAGAGACAGGAGGAGGAAATGTTCAAATCTGTCTCCTGGAGCTGGGAGCTATGTGCTGGGTGCTGGTGCAGGTTTTATAAGTGGTTATGAAGTGTGATCTGATAGGATCTTGCAATGAAGTAATATCGAGAGATGTACTCTGACTGGATTACTATGGGATGAGTCCAGTGCTTGATCTAAGGATCTTGAATCATATCATGTGGTATCTGCTTCTTAACTTGGTCTCTGTTCTTTGATCTGAGTACTGAGGTTGTACCCATAGTTACATGCTTAGTTCATCTGGGCATACTCAGGTTGAAACCAGGGGTCTATGGCAACTGAAGAACAACTCCCCATTTTATTACACAAAGTTGAACCAGATTGGGTTCTTTTGGTTATAGCATTACCCATTGATATTATTTTTATAGATGCCAGAGTCTAATAAGGATAGCCCAGAATCTCTATAGTTCAGATTACACTCGTTACCATACCAAATAAATTCCACCAAAAAAAAAAAGGAAAGTTTTTTTTTCCTAGATGTCCCTAAATTTTATCTCCTTGTATGGTATTCTAGTGTCTTGTTTCAGTGTGTCGACTTGGATCTTAAATCTAGAAAGGGCCTCTGTTATTGTATTTCTGTCAACATTTATATTTGATAAGATTGCATATTCTGATTTTATATGCTCCTCTTTAATGTTTTTATCCTTTTCCTCTGAGCTTTGGGATGTTATGTGAAATTTTTCTTCTATTAATTTTGGGTTCTGCTTATTCATTGTAGCTCTAAAGTTCATTCTAATCTCAGTTACATCTTCATAACTACTTAGGCACATAAAAGTGTATTCTTTTTTGACTTTTGTGAGAATGGGAGTCATACATTTGGAAAACCATTTGTTTCTGGGGGGAACATTTTGTCAATTTCTTTTTCTTTTTTTGAGACAGAGTCTTACTATGTCACCCTCAGTAGAGTGCTGTGACGTCACAGCTCACAGTAACTTCAAACTCTTGGGTGTAAGTGATTCTCTTGCCTCAGCCTCTCAAGTAGTTGGCACTACAGGTGCCTGCCACACTGCCCAGCATTTTTTTTTTTTTTGTAGTTGTCATTGTTGTTTAGCAGGCCCCAGACAGGGTTTGAACCTGCCAGCCTCAGTGTACGTGGCCAGTACCCTACCCACTGAGCTATGGGTGCCACCTGTGAGTGAGTTTCTTTTAAGTGACTTTCTTCATTTTTCTTTTTGGTCTTGTTCTTTTTTCTTTTTTTTTATCCTCATGGAAAGAAATTGGTGTTCCTCCTTTAGTCAAGGAAGAGTTCAGCTATGTTGTGTCACAGTAAATGTTGGCTCTTGCCTGAATTTGGAGAATATAGTTCTTGAATATTTGCCTTACCATTTTAAGAATCAAAAAAATCTGGAGAGTTGTTATGGTAGAGCACTTTGCCTCTCTGCTGAAGATTTCTTCCCCTGTCCCCCTTTTGTGTCCAGCCAAGCTAATGACAGGGCTGGAAAGTCTTTAATCTGCTTCAGTGCCTCTCTATGCTTTGTTTCCCTCAGTGGTGTCCCAGCTTCAGCCTCAATTGAAGGCATTCTGAGGTCGCATAATGATGCTAACAGTGTCCAAATATTACTAATTGATAGAGTGGGGAAGGCAAACTGTGTTGTCTTTTGGTTCATTGTCTGTCTTTCTTCTAGGACCCACCCAGAGTGATATGGGTTGTTGGGAATAGTCTGCAGGGGGAAGATAGTTTTCTCACAAGATGAGAAAGTGCTCCCTAGTGGGCCAAATTTGGCTCCTTCCATTATGTCACCTCTGTCCAGCAATGAGTAGAAGTTTACTAAAATTTATGTAAAATGAAGGTTGCTTCTGTTTCCCAGTGATGATATATATTCTCCTGATTTTTAAAAATGTTTCCTTGGTTTTTTTTTTCTTACTTTCCCCCCCTTTCACTTCCTCTTCCTCCCCAGCTTTCTTTGGTTTTCTTCTAGAATTTTTATAGTTCAGGTCTTACATTTAGTGAGAGGAAGAGATCTAATAGTTTCATTCTTCTGCATATGGCCATCTATTTTCCCCAGCACCATTTATTGAATAGAGTGGCCCTTTTCTGGTTTGTTTTTGTCTGTCTGGTTATAAGTATGTGGCTTTATTTCTAGATTCTCTGTTCTGTTTCATTGATGTGTGTCTGTTTTTATATTAGTACTTTGCTGTTTTGGTTATTGTAGCCTTATAGTATAATTTGAGTTCCAGTAATATGATACTTCTAGCTTTGTTGTTTTTCCTTAGGATGGCTTTGGTATTTGGACTCTTTCTCAGTTTCATATGAATTTTAATATTTTTTGTTTAATTCTATGAAAAATGACCTTGGTTTTTTGATAGAAATTGCATTGAATCTGTAAGATTGCCGTGGACAGTATGGTCATTTTAACCTAGTCTTCCAATCCATGAGCCTGGATTGTTTTTCTATTTGTGTCACCTGTGACTTTTTTTAAAATCAGTGTTTTGTAGTTTTTCTTATAGAGATCTTTCACTCCTTTGTTAAATATATTCATAGGTACTTTCTTTTTTTGCAGGTATTATAAATGGGATTGAGTTTTTGATTTGGTTCACAGGTTGGTCATTGCTGGTCTATGGAAATACTACTGATTTTTTTTCCAGTTAGTTTTGTATCCTGAGACTTACTGAATTCATTTATCAAATTTAAGAGCCTTATAGAAAACCTTAAAGACTCTTCTAAAACAATGTACAAGATTACATATATAATACGATACATATTAATTGATAATAAGATATGATAAGAGTATATCATCAGGCTTGGCTCTCATAGCTCAGTGGTTAGGGCTCCAGCCACATACACCTGGGCTGGCAGGTTCGAATCCAGCCTGGACCAGCTAAACAACAATGCCAACTACAACAAAAGAAATAGCTGGGCATTGTGGTGAGTGCCTATAGTCCCAGCTACGTGGGAGGTGAGGCAAGAGAATCACGTAAGCCCCAGAGTTTGAGGTTACTGTGAGCTGTGACGCCACGGCATTCTACTCAGGGTGACATAGTGAGACTGTCTGTGGCTCAAAGGAGTAGGGCGACTTGTGGCGGTTCAAACCCAGCCCCGGCCAAAAACTGTAAAACAAAACATAATAAAACAATTATATCATTAGCAAACAGATATAATTTGACTTTCTCTTTTCCAATTTAGATGCCCTTTATTTCTTTCTCTTGCCTAATTGCTCTGGCTAGGACTTCTAGTACTATGTTGAAAAAGAGTAGCAAAAATGGGCATCCTTGTCTTTTTCCAGTTCTTGGGGGGATGGTTTCAACTTTCCCCATTCACTATGATGGGAGAAAAGTTGTGTGTGGGATGTCATATACAGTTTATCATTTTAAGTTATGCTGTTTCTATGCCTAATTTCTTGAAGGTTTTTATCATGAAGGGATGATGAATTTTATCATATACTTTTTCTGCATCTATGAAATGATCATATAGCTTTTGTTTTAATTTCTGCTTATGAAGTGAATCACATTTATCAATTGGAGTGTGTTGAGCCATCCTTGAATCGTTGGAATAAACTCATGTGATCATGGTATGTTCTCTTTTTGATATGCTCTTAGATTCAGTTTGCTCATGTTTTGCAGAGAACTTTTATACTGTATTCATTAGGGATATTAGTCTGTTTCCTTTTTATGTTCTGTTCTTTCATGGCTTTGGTATAAGGGTGATAATGGCTTTATAGAACAAGTTAGTAAGGATTCCTTGCTCCTTAACCCTTTGGCACAGTTTCAGTAGGATTGGTACCAGTTCTAATTTGTGTATGGTAGCATTCAGCTGTGAATCTATGTGGTCCCTGGATTTTTTTCTGTTGGAAGATTTACTACTGATTCAGCCTTACTACTCATCATTGGTTTTTTCAGGATTGCTGTTTCTTCCTGATTCAAGCTTAGGAGGTTTTATGTTTCTAGGGATTTATGTATTTCTTCTAGGTTTTCTGGTTTATGAGTGTAGACATGTTCACAGTATTGTCAGATGACCTTTGTATTTCCATGGTATCACTGGTAATGTTGCCTTCTTTTTTCTGGCTGTGTTTATTTGACTTTTATCTCTTGGTCAATAACATAGATGTCTGCCAGCTTTATCTTTTCAAAGAACCAACTTTTCATTAATCCTTTGTGTGTATATGTGCATGTATATATGTGTGTGTATATACATGTCTCTATTTTGTTTAGCTCTGATCTTTGTTTTTTCTTCTAGCTTTGCATTTTTTCTAATTCTTCTAGTTCCTTGAAGAATGAGCTTAGGTTGTTAATTTGCGATTTGGGGAGGGGATTGGCATTTAATACATAAAATTCCCCTTCCTCCACACAGTGTCTATTGTCAACTCTCTCTTATATTCCAGTGTTCTTTTCCAGACAATCTAATTGATATATGGCTATCTACTTGATATTTTGATTCCTTTCTGAGAAAGAGGCATTCCCTAGCTGTGTGTAGTTCACCATTTTGAACCCTGCTACTACTTGGTTATTTTAATGGAAACTTTAAAAGTATTGAAAGTAGTAAACAGTTTTATTTTACAAACATTGTGTTTAGTGTATATAATTTTTACAAACATGTTTACTTTGATAAAATAGAGGCATAGAATTATTTTTAGTGTATGTTTACATACCAACTTAGTGTAAAGCTAATTGCATTTAATTTTGAAAGCTATCTTTCCAGAAGGTAATTAGTACTCATTTCCTTTTTAGAAAATGGATTCTACGCCTGTCTTACCAACATTTTTAGATGTGGATTTGACAATATTACATATTGAATGTCTTCCCAAGGATATCCTGGTGAAATTTCAAGGCAGAAATAATAGTGAATGTGAGTTTGACTATCACATTTTGCAGAGGGAAATACAACATATTCCAAAAGTGAAAAATAATGTGGACATTGATGAATTTTGTTTGGTTGAAGAAAGAGTATCTGGAGAATGGCAAAGAGGAAGAGTTGTGGAAAAGAAAAATGAACTCTATACAGTTCTTCTTATAGATCGCGGAGAGGAACTAAGGGTTGATAGTACGCAAGTTGCTTCAGCATGTGGCAATTTATTTGAGCTACCACCACGGGTAGTATTTGGTATTTTTGCCAACATACTACCAATTGGGGAAAAATGGTCTCCTAAGGCTTTGAATTATTTTAAGTCATTAGTAGGAATACATGTGAAAGGTTATGTACAAGCTATTTTGCCTCTGCAAGTGATTCTTCTTGAAGTACCAAAAGTTATATCCCAGGCTCTTGAGTTACAATTAGGAAGATTTATTGATGGAGATTCATTTCATCTTATTGTGGAAATGTTAAAAGAATTCCCTCAACAAATGCCAGATTTATTACAACATAAAAGACCTGAATTGTCATTAAGGAATAATGATACTTCACTTGATATTCAACATGTTCTGGATAATTTGCAGCCATCTTTGTCAGTAGGAAGTACTGAAAGTATAAAGGTATCATCTGCCCTGAGCCCAAGTAAATTTTATTGTCAATTAATTAAATGGATTCCAGAGCTAGAAAACTTGACAGTATGTATGACTTTGCATTATGATATTATCAGTCAAGAAACTAGTCCCACGTGTGATAATTTTGGACTACTTTGTGTTGCCAAAAGGATAAATGGACAGTGGCATAGAGGAATTCTTCAGCAGCTCTTGCCCAATAATCAAGTGAAAATTTGGTTTATGGATTATGGAAGTAGTGAGGCTATACCCTCAATTCATGTAAAGAAACTTAAACAAGATTTTATTTTAGTACCATTATTTTCATTTCCATGTTCTCTTACACATTTGCACAGTCCAGATAAAGATGCAAGAAAGTATCAGCTGAGTGTATTTAAACAAGCCTTGTTAGGACAAACAGTATATGCACACATTGATGAGTTCAATAAGGATGAGCATTTGTATTATGTGACATTACAAAGTCAAGAGTCTACAATTAATCCTAAGTGTCTACTGAAGACTGTAGGCACACAAATACTTTGTCCAGTGTCTGATTCAAAACTCACCAATATCTCTAGTAGGACTGGTGCTTCTGATGCGAACACCTGTGCAGTTGAGAGTTTTATTGGAAATATTGAATGGTCAGTAGACTCGCTAAATAAAAATAACATTTTCAAAGTAGGATTTCCTATTAAAACTGTAGAAATGGAGACAGAGGCTGCCTATGTAGCTTTTGTAGTTTATGTATTAAACCCATCAAATTTCTGGGTACGCACTAATGACCATCAGAATGAATTTCAAGATCTAATGACAAATATAAACAAATTTTATGATTTGTGTGAAAATGATGAAATGATCCTAAGAAAACCTGAACCTGGATTATTTTGTTGTGCTAGATATAGCAAGGACGGACGTTTTTATAGAGCTGTCATTACTGAAATTAATGGCCATAAGATTAACGTTTATTTTTTGGATTATGGAAATACTGATTCCATACCATTTTTTGACGTAAAAATTTTGCTTCCAGAATTTTGTGAATTGCCTGCCTTAGCCATGTGCTGTTCACTTGCACATGCATTTCCTGTTGAAGATTTATGGGTGAAGGCTGCAATTGATTATTTTAAAAAAATAGTTTTGAACAAAGCAATTTTGCTTCAAGTTATAGCAAAAAGAGATGACAAGTACATTGTAAATATTCAAAGTATTGAGGCCTCAGAAAATATTGATGTTGTCTCTCTTATGTTACAAGCTGGCTATGCAGAATATTGGGAAGTAGAACCAGAATGTTTTAAGAACTCTGTAAATGGATATTCAGTGTTAAATTTAAAATCTAAAAACAAAGTTAATATTAAAAATGTCATCTCTGCCCTTCTTGAAGGACCTAAATCTAAAAAGTACCATTCAAATAAGGAAGAGGAAAATAACTTGTCTTTGTCAAAATCCTCAGCTGTTAATTTATTAGATTTAACAAATCCTTTTACATCTGTGGGGACTGCTTCATCATCATCTTATAAAGAATATATCTTTAAACCGGGAACAGTTCTTGAAGTTAAATGTTCTTATTATTGTGGCCCACGTGACTTTTCATGCCAGCTCCAATGTAAGTTAGAAGACCTAAAATTGCTGATGGAACAAATTCAGATTTACTATAGCATTAATTCTGATCCTTATCATATTGGCCAGATTGCTTGTGTTGCTAAGTATTCCAAAGATGGGAAGTGGTATAGAGCTGCTGTTCTGACTCATGTATCAAAAAAAGAAGTCGACATAGTATTTGTTGACTATGGTTACCAGGAAAGAGTTTTAATTAAAGATCTTTGTGGTATTAACCCACATTTTCTTTCTTTAGAAGGCCAAGCCTTCAGATGTTGTCTTGACCATTTAGTTGAACCCACTAGTTGTAAATTATTGAACTGGACAAGAGAAGCATCTAGAGACTTTGGGAAATTTCTCTCTTCATCTAGAGGGCTATTGACTTGTATTATCCATGCCTTAGTTCTTATAGATCCTAACTGTTTATGTAATTTGGTGGATTTACAATCTTCATTTACCAGTGCAAAAGAATTTCTTATTAATTGTGGCTCTGCTCAGTATACCACATTATCAAAGCCACTTCCATCTTCAGTTAGTCTTTATAGTTACTATTATTCTTCATTTAATATAAACATTGGAAGTGAGGAGGAAGTATATATCTCTCACATATATAGCCCCAAAAAGTTTTATTGCCAGCTTGGTAGAAATAATAAAGACCTAGAGATGATAGAAAAAAAAATCACAGAGATTATTAATCTCAAAAGTTGCCCAAAATACGATTCTAAAAAAATGAGATTGTGCATATCTAAGTACATGGAGGATGGCCTCTCATATAGAGGTTTGGCAATGCCAATAGGTTCATCATCTGACTTTCTGGTCTATTTTGTGGACTTTGGAAATAAGCAATTAGTAGAAGAAAACATGTTGTGGGCCATTTCTGATCAGTGTCCAGAGTTGCTGTTTACTCCTATGCAAGCAGTTAAATGCTTTTTGTCAGATATTAGAGATGTAGATATTCCAGCAGAAATCAATAACTGGTTTGAAGACAGTTTTTTGGGAAAACCATTAAAGGCAGTAATATTGTCCAGGGAGGCAGATGGTCAGCTAGGTATGGAGCTGTATGATGGAAATCAACATATAAATCAGAAAATTAAAATGTTACTTCATGCTTACAGAAACAAACATTGTGACCAAGCACACTGTTTAGAAGAGAACCATAAAATAAATGAGAGTAAGAGACTCACCGCTTCTTTGAAAGGCAAACTGGAAAACGACTATCACAATAATATGGTAAACAAAACCAGTCTCGTAACATATTCTGAAAGCAAAATAGATCAATTAATGCATCCCCAAAGTATATATACCAGTCTTTTGAAACCATCATTTTGTTATAAAATTGAACCTGTGTCAAAAAACAAAGTGAAGAAGTCTTTGAATGATGGACTTAAAAGTGTAAAAATTGTCCCTCGATATGCACATATTCTTGATGAAACTGGTGTGGGCCAAAAAACAGTAAAAGTTGTATCACAATCGTTTATCAGAGAGTTAAATCAAGCAGCCTCACAAAGCCTTCATAGACCACAAATCAAAGACCTTCCTCAACCCAAAATTTTCTTGAATACCAAAATTAAAGGGTATGTCTCGAATATTAGCAATCCAGCAAGTTTCCATATTCAGCTGGCTGAGAATGAAAATGTAATCGTCAGACTTGCAGATGCCTTAAATGAAAGAAGAGGAAATAGAGTGAAAGAGAGAAAATCAGTTAAACTTCTGGTTGGGGACCTTGTGGTCGCAGAATACTCTGGCGACAGTGCCATTTACAGAGCAGTTATTAAGAAAATTTTGCCAGAAAATTCTTTTGAAGTGGAATTTATCGACTATGGTAACACTGCAATCGTAAACGCATCAAAAATGTATGAACTTAACAGGGAATTTGTAAGCATACCTCAGCTAGGAATCCATTCTTTTCTTAGTGGGGTAAAATGGAATGAGCCTGATGAAATATGGGACAGCAAAATGGTTGATTATTTTGCTTCGAGAGTAAGTAATAAAACAGTTTCTTGTGAATTTTTGAAAAAGCATGAGCAGAAATGGGAAGTAAATATAATTTGTGATGAAAAATATGTCATTAATGAACTACTAAAATGGACAGCATGTTCAAAACCAGAGAAGATAGCATTGCAAATACCTCAGATTGTCTCTCAAAAGGTTGGCCCTGGTGATAATAGTGAAATAAAGAAAGGAAGATCAAATGAATGTGAAGGGCCCGTGATCCTTCAACAGTCCTACCAACTGGTTAAAATTCCATGTGAAGAGTTAAAACCTGGACAGCTCGAAAAAGCTGAAATCCTTCATGTTTCACAAAATGGAAGATTTTATGTTAAGTTATCCAGAAACAAAAAAGTTTTATCAGATTTAACATTATTAATTGCCAAAGAAGAAAAAAACTCTTCTCTTTTATCAGTGGAAAATATTGAAAAAGGTTTAGAATGCTTGGCAAAGTCCAAAAAAACTTTAAAGTGGTATCGATCCAAAGTAGAAAGAAAGTACAGTGATCAGCGAGTGCTCGTTTTTTTGGTAGATCGTGGTAGATATGAAATCGTGCCTTTACGTAATACCAAGGAGCTTAGTAATGAGGCCAGAAATATTCCGAGACAAGCTGTGTCTTGTAAGTGGATTTGGCTTGAAAATTCTAGGAACATGTCATTTGAGTCCATTGTGTGTTCGTTCACTCATTTGGAAATAAACATCCTTTTTCTGAAGTATTTAGATTCTGTTTGGGAAGTAGAAATTTTGGTAGATAACCTGTTACTTTTGGAATATTTAAATTTGAATACGGTTCTTGTTAAAGAAAACAAACGTAGATCTTCAGGAATTGCTTTCAGTGTTGACTCTAAGAGTCCTGTGTCATCAGGCTTAATCCGATCATTTACTTGGGCGCAACTCCAGAGTGGTAGGCTTTATTCTGGTATTGCTACTGCTGTTTCTGATCCATCAGACTTCTGTGTTCAGTTAGAAGATTTCTTTGATACAATGAAATATCTCTTTATGTTGCTTTCTGATCTCCCAGAAACCTTACAGACCTTGCCTCAAGAACTCATAATTCCTGGGTCTGGTTGTTTGTTCAAATATGAATTGGAAGATGAATGGAATAGAGTGGAAATTTGTGATGTCTCCGATCAGTCTTTACTTCTTGTATTGATTGACTATGGATTTTCTTTTTATATACCTTATTCAGATATAATACATCTTAAAGTCGTTCCTGAGGAACTTTTGAATTTGCCGAGGCTAAGTTATCCATGTATCTTACATGGTATCCTACCTGCTGAAGGGAAATACTGGAGTGAGGAAGCAAAGAGCTTTTTTAAAGATTTCCTAAGTAAACCAGGTTTAGTTTTTCTGTTCAGGGAATATGATTTTGAAACAAAACTAAAAGTAGATGTCATTCATGAGCAAAACAATTTGGCAGATGTATTAGTTGCATCAGGTCTTGCAATATATTCTAAAGATTCAGCTAATTTTGTTGAAATTACTGCCACGGGACCTGTTAAAACCCAGTGTAAATTACAGAGTAAGCCTATTTGCCCATCATCAGATCAAAATTGCTACAAGAAAGAAAATATAAATTACACATGCACTGAGAAACAAAAGCCAAAAAAGCAGAAATTTATAAAGAGGAAAGATTTCTGTAAGAACCTCTTTAAAAAAATTCATATTAGTAAAAGATTACATTCTGGAAATTTAACACTGAGAAAGAAAGTTGCTGGTGGACAGCAGAGTCCCCAAGGAGTCATTACATTTGATGCCTGTGCAGCGGCTTCATTTTGGGAACTGCCTGATGATTTGAAGAATAACATCAATTGTGTTGAAAATATTTTTAAAAAACTACCCACTGATGGAAGACAGGAACATAATAATACAATGGACTTGAGGATAACAGTAAAAGAGTTGCATGTTACTGAAAAAATTGTATCAGAAGAACACTTTAAAGGTAAGTAGCTATTTTTAAAAAATAGATTCTTTTCTGCTGATTCTATTTTTGATTCTTTAAACATTTTTCATGTATTAAAATTATCCACATTGGAAATACTATATTGCAGGAAAACTTACTAGAAAATCTGCATAAATGGAGAAACTGGGAGTGATACTTGGATAATGAAATGATTCTTCCTTATCTCTATCATTGGATGGTAGAGTGCAGTGGAAGTAGATTCTAAGTACACATGCATGCAAACACGAATGACATTTTACAGGTCATTGCAAGGGTTTCATAAAACTCCTAGAGGTCTATAGATCGCAGGTTAATAAATACTGCTCTTAATTAGTGAGCCTCCTGGGCTCATTTTGAAGAATCCGTTTTCTGTTACGTATTGTTACATGACATATGCAATATACCTTTAGGTTTTTTTAAGTATGCTTCTAGGATATTTTTAAATCAGCTAGACTTAAAAGATAAATTAACTCTAGCATATTTTTTATTGAATATTTTGGACATCAAATTCTAAAAATATTGCTAAAATTTTGATATCTTACAATAGTGTATGATTTTGCTTGTGCACATGATTATATTCTGTATGGATTAGTTACTGAGGAGTTTGTAGCCTATAAAAAATGTTTTCTAATGAATGTTCTAATATTATAAATAAAACTTATAGTATTCCATATTCTGTATTCTACATATAACTAACCAAACAGCTCACACTGTTTGAGGTGTCTTGTTTTGATTGATGTAATGTTAGCTAGTGTATTATTTGAATTCTTATTTGAATATATTATGGTGAATTGATAAATGCTTTAAAATTGGCCCCCTTTTCCTTATAAGTTTTTCATCTTTCTTTTATGATAGCAGTGGTTATAACAGTGATGGAAACAGCTACTATATTTTGAATGCTTAACTAAAGTTCCAGGCACTGTGTTAATAGCTTTAGATGTATTACCTTATTAATGTTTATTACGACAACTCTGAGGTAGGCTGTTATTAAGGTTTAAGTGAGCCTAATAAGTAGTACCCTGATTCTTTGTCCGAATTCTAAACCACTTTTGAAGAAACCATCTCAGAAGGAGAAAGGCAGTTGGAAAGCAAATCGTCACACTTATATAAAATAAATCCCCAAACAATACTGACAAATGTAGCACATATTCCAGGACAATTGGCTTACCAGTACCAAATCAAGGAATGCTTACATTTACACTTATCCACATAAGGCACAGATAAAAGAACCTTCAAACAGGAGTGTATCCATGGAAAACATATGGCCAGAGGCAGTTCTCTCCAAAAAGAACATAGGGCAGCACCTGTGGCTCAAAGGAGTAGGGTGCTGGCCCCATATACCGGAGGTAGTGAGTTCAAACCCAGCCATGGTCAAAAGCTACAAAAAAAAAAAAGGGGGGGGGGAGAGGCTAATCTAATGTGGGCCTTTCCTCCTCCCAAGTGACTGATATGATTACTCCCCTCCTGGAAGCCCAACAGAGGGGTATGAAGAGATTAGGAGCAGTTTGCAAGGAGAGTTCCTGACTCAACTGCTTCTATTGGAAGGAAACATCTGGAATGAGAAATCTCCAAGGTCACCATTTTATTTATGAATCTCAGGGAAAACTAAATATCTTGATTATGAGTTTAAAGCTGGTAAAGAAGGAATTGAGTTACTAAACTCATCTCTCCTACTGCTTTTGTTATTTTATACTCCCTTTTGAAAACCCTTGGCCATCAAACCATACATTTTGGCTCTTGTGTACCTTTATCTTTTGTGCCTTTGTGTGCCTCCTACTTTGTTTTTTTACATCAAATTCTTTAAGAACCCACCTGGGCCCCTACTTTTATCTCCTGGCACTGGTAGCATGTAATGAATTACTAAGTGAGTTAAAGTGAAAGTAGCCATTGTAAAAGCGGTTAGAAAACCAAACAAATTATACTTAAAAATTAAAAATTTAAAAGTCTTATTTAAGGAAGAAATCATAACTTTGTGGCAAATACAAGCAACATTATTTCATGGATTAAGAATATATTTATATATTTGCTATAATCATAGCTTTAAAACAAAACAAAATAATAGAAAAAACGGATTTTATTGCCTTTACTATCAACTCATACCACCTCTGCTTCTCTTCTGTTATTGCCTGTAGGGATTCTTAGTCTAGGGCAAAGTGATTTCGTAGTTCCTCTTGGTTGAAGACATCAGTATTTTAAACTCTTGTCTGTTAAAGTATAGAAATGGGGCTTAAGTGCAGTGCTTCTCAGCCTTGGTTTTGCATTAGAATTACAGTGGAAGCTTTAAAAAACTGATATCTGGGTTCCTCTTTCTTTTTTTCTTGGTCTCTTGTCCACCCTCCAGCCTACAGGCTGGGTGCAGGTTATTGGAGGGCTGTTTTATTTTTTTGTGCTGTGGGATACCCAGAAAGATGCCCAGACCTTTTCTTTCATTTATCAACTATCACTGGTGTTTGTGTATTTGATGTGCCGCCCAAGGCAACTCTCCTTCCAATGTGTGGCAGAAAAGAAAACAGGTTGGACGCTCCTGCATAATGCATTTATTTTATCTTGCCCTCAGGTGTACTAATTATAGAAGTTGCTGCCCTTTATATTTAGAAAATTGACTTATTTTCCCCTAGTTTCAGCCTACTTACACACACACCAGTATTTAAATATTCAAAGTAATTGTTTTTGTTTGCAAACTATTTTCTGCAGAACAAAAATTGCTAGTCTTTTTTCAGGATGTTCTTTGTTTTTTTCATTGTTTTTTTTGTGCTTGTTCTTGCCGGGAAGTCTTTATATATATCATGATGAGAACTAGAGACTGAAACAACTGTTTTGTTTTTTTTTTTTTATTTGATTACTCTTTGGTAATGAAGCAGTCCTTGGTGGTAATATGTGCCTACCCTCCTACAGTTCTTTATTTAAATAGAAGACATCTTTGGAAGAAATCTGGAATGACAACTCAATTTCAGAGAAGAGTTCTTTTTTGACATTTTAAGTATGATGTAATATCTAGACACCCAGAGAGGTTTGGTTGACATATGAAGTGCCAGCCTGAAATCTGAAACAATACCTAATGTATAATACAGATTTATGCATCACTTGCATTGGGTGGTAATTAGAACTATGGGCATTGAGGCCAGACTCTGAGTTTGAAATTCTTTATCTCTTATTAATTGTAAAACTATGGATAACTTTTTATCACTTCTGTGCCTCAGTTTCTTTATATGTAAAATGGAGATCATAATACTAACTGCCTTATTGGATGGTTGTGAATAATAAGTTAAGACATGTAAAGCGTTTTCAGTAGTGCCTGGTATATAATATAAATGCTTACTGTTAGAAATCTTAATAATCCTAGTAAAGCTATGTTTATTTTGAAAGTAGTTTGACACAATAGTTAAAACAATTTCTGCTATGCAAGAAATTGAAATATTTAAAGTGAGATAATGGTCACATTCATGACGGAACTTCTATTCTGAAGATAGGATTTATGAGTAAGAGATGATTATAGGTCCAAAGAATAGAATGGGTTATGTATATTTTTTCCATTGTGAATATATATTGTTGAATTAAAATGTTTTTAGTTGACATATATTTATAGATGTAGTATGTGTCATAGTATGTTCTAATTATGTATTATTTGTGTCCAATTTTGTTCCTTCTTGTGAATTTTAAGAATTAAGTGAAAAAGAAATCTAATAGTAGAAATTTAAAAAGTCTCAAATATCTAGTGAGACTCATGCTTTAGAAAGTATATTAGAACATATTCATTTTTTTATTTCTGTTTTTCAGTAGAGGGAGATGAAAGCTCAGATTGCTTATATATCAGTGTGACAAGAAATGATACATAAGATTCTCAGTAATTACTACCTTGGTTTAGATGCTGCATCTAGAGTAAAATGGTAAGCATAGGACACCAACTTCCAATGTTAAAGCGTGGTAAGCTAATGTGGATGGTTTGAGGTATTTCTGCAGGAGACGGTGTTAGAATGCTGCACAAGTTTTCTGTGTTATAGAATGCGATCCTTTGATTTCAAAACGATTACTTATGAAATGTGGCTTGTCAACCTGGAGTATCTTGAAAATATTTTGACGAAGTCTTGTTTGTATGTGATTTCAGAAGCAATAGATGATCATTTTATCATTATCTTAAATTTTTCAGATGTCTTTCTGGACTAAAACCTTTGTTTCAGTTGCTACTTTGTAGTTATAATTGCAACTGTTGTTAGTATAGGTGGAATTTATGCAGTACAGCCACATCCCTGGAAAATAATAGGCACATGTAGGAATGACATTTAGGAAAAGGATATAGACAAGACGTCAGACTTAACCCCCTCTTTCTCTGTGGTTGGCTCATAACATGATCTTTTTCTGTCTTTCATTTTATTTTACAGCTACTATCTGGGGAAGGGAAAAATCAATATTTTGTCATTGTATTTAGTATTGAATTGAAATTTATTTTCTAAGTAAACATTAATCCAGCAAGGTCACAGTATTGTTTTGGTACAAAGATAGAAGGACAAACTCATCTAAATGCACTCATTAGCATAGCCCAGATAATTCTGAATTTAAAGGATAATTGGGAAAACTTAGAAAATTCAGTTGTATCAATATCTGTACGTCTATATTGTCTTTTTTGATTGGGAAATAATTTCTAGAAATACTGTTGTTTATGAAAATATGTGAGTTTGAATTTAGGTATCCCAAAAGTTGAAATTTACTCAGTACTTGGAAACTTCATGTATCTTTTTTGTGAACAAGTTAATCTCTAGTTTGTGGCTATTTTAGAACAGAGAACTAAACATTTCCTCTTTGTAATCTAAACTCTTTGAATACTTTTGTGTCATTGCCTTTTCCTCAAGCCCTGAAAGATCTTGAAGATTAATTCTACAATTATGAAGAGCGCTTCCCTTGGAAAATGATCCATTTTACACAACTTCTATGGTTGCTGTATTGAACATTGGAGTGCTTTCATTGTCTTGTTACCATAAAATAGTATAGACTTAACAATTTCAGTTTATTAACAAAGGAATGAACTTGAATACCAATGTAAAATTATGCTGTGATCACTTTTGGGGTGGTTTACCAATGCTGGTCAGGATGGTTAATTATACCTTTTATGTTTTAATTTTTTTCTAATTTTTTTCTATATAGAGTTTTAAAATTATGTAAAAATAGCTTTCAGTATGGAAAAAAGAAATTCATTAGAAAAAGAGTGAAGATTGATATTTTTAAAAGAATATTCACATATGCATTTTTCAAGGATCTATATGGTTATGAAATAAAACAGATCTAAATCTGTTAAATACAGACTGATTATTTAGATATTTGTATTTTCCTTCCATATAATCATTTTGACTTTACATGCTTCTACGCAATTTACTTGGTTAAATGTCAGTCTCTGATTTTTCTTTGAGTTTATCTGCGTATCCTGACTTAATGTCAATATAACACTTTCTGATTTTTAGAGGATCCTTGAACTCTAGTATTTAAAAATACTTATGATGTTGTTGCTAGCTTTAATTTGTGTATATCTAAGGGAAATCTTTTTTTATTTTCCATATTGAATATTTTTGAGTTAAAATTTTTCCCAATAAAATATTTTCAGAATGAGTCTTTGAAGTCTGAAGTTACATGTATATTTTAAAAGGGTAATAATAACATTAAAAGGATAATATAAATTATAGTGATGAAATGTTAAAGTCACTTTAAATTTTCCTTTTAACCAAAGATAGTTTTGACTCACTTTACTCATTATGCTCTTATTTTTACAATTGAGTGGAAAAAAAAATAGTAACACATTTTCTGCTTAAATGTCTTCCGTCTTCCAAAATATGAGTCCTTTTATATTCTTTATCCTTTTACTTTAAAAGGAATTCTGAATTTTTAAAAATTACAAATTTCTTTAATTTTTAAATTTGATCTGTAGTTTGGGTGCTAAAATTATCTCAACATTTTTCAAAAATCTCTAGCATTCAGTTTAATTTTTGTTTTTTTTATAACATAACCTGAGAATATTAAGTTTCTAATATTTGTTCCTCTTTGATTATAATACATTAACAGCTGTGTTAACTCTTAATGGCTTTGTTTTGTTTTCTTTTCTTGTAATTCCTTATTCATCATTAAGTGATCAGTTGTTGACCCAAGCTGCTGTTCATGTTGCTTTTACATAGACAGCCTGAATGCTCAGGTTAACTCCCAGGATGTTTCCACTGCAGTGGGGATCAAACTACAGACTCTTTGTCCAGGGTGTCTTATATTCTCTCAAATTTTTACCAGCGCCAGTGCATGGCAGCCGTGGTGTTGGCTTATGACCCAAGGGAAGTGAATCACTCCAGCCTATGGGCTTTACTCTCTGTGGCTCTGCTCACTGTGAAACCCAAATCCCATCTACCATACAGCTTTGAACTTTGACCTCTGCATCCTTAATTCAGCAAAACTGTTGATTTGTGCTTGGTCTTCACTTTCCAAACTAGGGTCCAAATAATTTCCCGAGGGAGAGAGGTTGGGTGATGGAGGCATTTTCTTGGGAGTCTCTGCTTTCTCAAGGATTCCAGCTCTTCATGGTTTGCTTTTCAATGCCTGCAGTTTTATGCTGTCCAGTTGTTTTATAATAGGGGGATAAGTCCAATATTAGCAAGTCATATGGCTCAAACCAGAATTTGCTAGTTTTCTATTAATTTTTCCACTGGACATGGAGGCTCTTGGAGGTAATACAGGCAATAACTTGGGTTATGAGTATATTATTCTCTGCCCTCTTGTCCATTCTTTGTCCTCAGTATAATTCAGATCAAACATCCAAACCAACATAGTAGCTGTCTTTTTGCCTTTTAGCTCAGTAGCATTTTAGTTCAATAGAAGTTATTTATTTACTTATTTATTTATTTTGATTTTCCTGGTAGAAACATTCTTCCTTAGTGAATCAAGACTTTTAAACCAACAAACCCAGAGCTGGAAAAATGGGAAGCATAACATTTTTCTACTGGTAATAGGATTTTCTGTGACTACTAAAAGGACATCCCTTAATTGGACTGTAAGACATCCATGTTGGGGTCGTTTCACTGAATCTTAGAGAACTTACTCTAAATCAGATCTGAACATTTTCTTTCTCTGTCAGTAGTTATAGGGAATCCCAAGAGACTAGGGAGGTAATGAGAGGGAAGGCAGTGCAGGAGCACAGATGCCAAGTGGAGGGCATTTGTATGTAGAACATACGTGCCTGCAGGACCTGTTCAATTCTAGTCCCATGTTCAGTATTTCCAACCTGACGGAGTGCTGCTGTGCTTACCCAGCTGTGACTTCATGAGTCAAATACTTATTTTGTAATGGGTGGCTCAGATTATGTGACAAATTGGTGTTCCACACTCAAGTGGTCTATTTTTCCCATGGCACCGACATTATGATAAAATATCTGAAAGTTCCCTTGAGGAAGCCTGGAAGGAACACTCTCCACAGAATCTTTCAGCTGTTTGGCAGGGCCTTTTTTCCCATGGACTCAGTCATCTGGAGTCAGACTATTCTGAGTCAGTGAACTCATTCAGTTCTGAAGCCGGCATGGGAGCAGTGACTACTGACTACTAAGTCAGTCCCCAGACTTGGAGGTTTTTGTCTTCTGTAGCTCAGATAAAACTTCAGTTGACTTCCCTCTATTTCAGTTCTGGGAATGTCCTGATTGATTAATCAGTGCCACAGATTGCTCTGGGTCAAACCACTTTAATTGTTGCTCTCTTTCTTCCCCTTGTAGTAGTCATATGTGCCTGGTCCCTGGTGGTCACTGCCACCTCTTGGTTTCTGCCACTTTGGGATCCCATCATTCTTCATGATTATGGGGAGCCCAATTTAAGCACATCATTTTCACTATTATTCCTGGTATACAGATAGTAGTCACCAGAGTCTTTACACGTATTTCTCAAAGCCATTGTGAAAGGACTATTCTCTGGATTCTCCCAGGGAAGACCACCTCACAGGAAAGGGGTGAGTAGGTCACATATAATAAATATACTTGTACTCTTATCTTCCCAGGAGGTGTGCATTTCTTTTCTATAAGGAGGTTTTCATACTTTGACAAGAATGAGATCTCCTGGAGAACTTGTTAAAATAGTTTTCCAGGTCCAACTGCCAGATTTTCTAATTGAGTAGCCTTGGAGTAGGCATAGGAATTTTAATTTCTAACATTCAGGTGATGTGAATGCAGCTCATCTGGGGACTAGAAACTCCATTTTTCTATATCATACTAAATTGTTGAGCATCATGGCTTTAACATAGGATGTCGTGTACACGTTTAGCTCAGCTAACTGAGCAAGGCCTTACAACCTCTCTGAGCTACTTGATGTAACACATTGTAGCAGTTACATAGAATTAAGTAATTGAAAGTGCTCACAGGTTCTATAGCAGTGTTTTTCACCCTTTTTTGAACCTACAGTTAAACTTTCACAGCATTCTTAAATACATAATGAGCTTTGAACTTCTTTTAAAAATAATTAATGGTCTTTAAAAGTTTTTGTGGCAGTTGAAAGTTGCTGGTCTGTAGGATATAAAGTATGTGATGCTTTATCAGTAAAAGTGAAGGATACAGCATGGCTATAGAAAGCGCAGCAAACAGGAGAGGCTTTGCTCAGGGACCCGTGACATCCCTGTGTAGATCGTGAGCCCTCAGAACACCTGTGAGATCCTGAGGCTCAGGGATGAGTCACATGCAGCATGCACATCTCAGGAAGGGTCCTCAAGTTTTTAAGAATAGTTTTATATTGCTTCAATGATGTAAAAATAAGTTTTTTTTAAAGTTTTATTATGCTTTTTACATAATAAAATTTTGTTCTCTGTAGGAGATAGTCCTCAAACACCTACTTTG